TCACGCCATGCCCAATTAGGGCAGACACCTGGCCGTAGCCAATCAGGTGATTTCTCTGCTTCCCTGTCTGACTAATAAAAGCTTGCTGCTCACACTGCTGGCTGCAGCTCTCTGAACCTCTTCTGGTTCTGAGTGCTGCCTGAATCATGAATCGTTCTTTGTTCAAATAAACTCTGTTAAATTTAGCTTGTTCAGAGTTTTCTTTTTAACAGGACACACACACACGTATGTGTCTACTCACTTCTTTTTTTTTTTTTTTGTCTTTTTTTCGTGTCCGGCAACGGATCGCAACCCTCAGTGTCGCCCCCGTACCGGACCAGGACCAGCAACGGGATCGCAACCCTCGGCGTTGCCCCCATGCCTCGCTCAGCCAGTGAGCGGGAACCGGTCTGTATGTGGGATCCGAACCCTCGGCAGGAGCGCCGCCGCGCTTCCCAAGAGGCACACTAGCGCAGTGCGCCACCGGGCCGGCCCAATGTCTACTCACTTCTAAAGCAGCTAATAAATATTTCCTAGCACTAGCAACCACATCTATACTTTTAATAACAGCCATCATCATTAATATATTATATTCCAGACAATGAACAGTTACAAAAATTCCTAACCCAGTGACATCCCTAATAATTACTATGGCACTAATTATAAAGTTTGGACTCTCCTCATTCCATTTCTGAGTCCCAGAACTAACACAAGAAATTCCATTAATATCAGGCATAATCCTATCATCATGATAAAAACTAGCACCAATTTCAATTATATTTCAGGTCTCATCATTAATTAATTTAAACATAGTTCTAATAATCACCATATTATCTATCCTAGTAGGCGGGTGAGGAGAACTTAATCAGACACAATTAGGAAAAATCGTAGCCTACTCGTCAATTGCACCTGAGTCTATCTATCTATCTGTCTGTCTGTCTATCTAATATTTTATTCTCTTCCAGAGAGAACTTTCTGTCCACCCTTGCTAGCATTGCCCCTCCCCCAACCATCATTTTCCACCTTGTTACCCTCTTTGGAGTTATCTTAGTCATTTGTTTGCTGGTTTACTCTCTGTGAGCTCCCTGGGGGAAGGGTCCTTGTCTATCTGGTGCACGGCTGAATCCTTGAGTCCTCACTAAATATTTGTCGGCTGCCGGCTGCCCTTCTCCAAGGTGTGCCTGAGTGCTGATGCTGGGGTGCTCACCACCTGCTTAGTACCTTTGCTTCAGATCGTGTGGGGAGGCTGCTGTCCTTACCCCTAAAGCTTTGGGCTCTCCTGTCAGGAATGTCTCCATGGGCCGCAGGTCGGGCGCCCGGGTGGCTCTTGGTGTCTGCACCCCCAGCGGTGGCTCCTCCAACTGCATGATCCCCGGAGGCTGGCACATGGAGGTGGGCAGAATGGCTGGAGGTGGGCAGAGGCCGCTGGCATTGCTGGGTGGGATGACAACAAACACCCCATTGCTGGCAGGACCTGCGGACATCGTGCTGGGAGTGCCTGGGAAACAAAGGCTCGGGAGAAAATAACGAGGATGATGATGATTATGCATCTACAAGAAGCTCGTTTTTTTTTTTTTTGTCCTTTTTGAGACCGGCCGCACCGCGCTCAGCCAGTGAGTGCTGTGGGCGCACCTGCACCGGTCATCCCTATATAGGATCCGAACCCGCGGCGGGAGCGCTGCTGCGCTCCCAGCACCGCACTCTCCCGAGTGCGCCACGGGCTCGGCCCAGAAGCTCGTTTGTTTATAAACAATGTGTCCACCTGTCCTTTCTTACTGCAGCCCTGCGAGGATGGTACTAAAATCTTTGATTGTAGTTAGTGCAGCTGAGACCCAGAGAAACAAAAGAAGTTCGAGATCAAGGGCCTCGAGGAGGAGTAAGGCTGAGACTTCAATTCGGATCTCTGATCCCAGAGGCCCCACTCTTAATCCCCTGCTATATTATGTGGAAAGGATCTTTAGGAGGAGCATTTATTTAAACATCGTCCATTCCCCAGAGAGGGCAAGTGACTTGCCCAAGGCCACACAGCTAGTGCAAGGTGGAGCTTAGCCAGTGTGCTCATTTCTTTGCCCCTAGACCAGGACTCACCTGCCACTTCCTGCCTCCCAGCTCACGGCTATTGAGTTTTTGCAAATAATTCCCCTGGGTAATTTCCTGCTTTGGGAGGCTTTCCATTTGGCCACCCACACATTGACATTAATGTAGCCAAGATAGTTATGGATTATGGAAGCTTTAGGTGTGGCTGCCTGGGCAAACACTTTGGGGAAAAACCACCCATTACCCAGGCATCAGGAAATGAGTTTACTAGGACACCACAGAATGATGACTCTGCTACATCACACAATTAGCTTAAAAACAGTTACTGTTCTTGTTGTTATTAGTGGGTGAAGAGTTCAGCAGTTCATGGCTCTGAGACCGAAGCCAGTACTAGAATCCTGGCCCCTCTAGTTACTGTGAGACTTGGGGGCAAGACGGTCACCTCCCCTGCCTCAGTTTCCTTACCTGTGGAGTGAGGATAATAACACAGGTACTAGTCTGGTAGGGTTTGGTGTGAATTAGATTGAACAACATATGTGACTCGATAAAAGCCATCCCTTACATTGTGATTTGTTTTAATACTATTTGCCTGAAATATTTTCTTAAACACAGTATATATGAACCAGTTACTTACAATGAACAGCTGAGGTGCATTTCCCCCGATGCTCTGTATATGTGACTCGATAAAAGCCATCCCTTACATTGTGATTTGTTTTAATACTATTTGCCTGAAATATTTTCTTAAATACAGTATATATGAACCAGTTACTTACAATGAACAGCTGAGGTGCATTTCCCCCGATGCTCTGAGAGTTACTGTCCATGCTCATCAGGAGAGAGCCAGCTCGCAGAACGTGCAGCAAATTTCTCTGCAGTTCTGCAGAGACTCTCAGCTGATGAGGGCTTGGTCTCACTGCTCTGGGGTATTAGGCCTCACAGTCAGCTTAACATAAGCACAGCCATGCTGACTACTCCCTCACCCTGTCCTCTACCCCCTGCCTTTTCCTCAAGGCTGGTGCATTTTGATAAGAACATCTGGTACAAAACAGGATCTTGTAAAAAACAGAAAAACCACAAAGCTGTTAGTGCTCGGAATAGCTTTCCAATCCCTCAGAACTTAAGCTCTTCCCCCAAACCCTCTCTTTCCCAAATTCAAACCCTATAAAGCCTCTGCTAGTCTGTATGGGGGCGGAACACTGATCTTTCAGTTTCTCCTCCAGGTTTGCTGGAGTAAACTCTCTTGCATAAAAACATTTGGCTCAGAGTCCTTTATCCTGTTTGTCTTGCTGACCTAACATGGGGTGACTGTGCTTACAACATGTGTGTCCCCTGGGGAGCCTCTGAGCCATTTGTTTTGTAAGGATTTGACTTATATGGGTGGACAAAGTGGATGAGGGACAGTGTTGGGCCTGCTGTAGAGAAACAGAGGGAAGAGCACACATAGGCTGTTAAGCAAGGTTTTCAGAGACTAGAGGCACCTCCAAGGAAATGGTTGGGGAAACACAGGGTAAAAATCTTCTGGCATTTAGTGGGTAGTGGAAATCATTAGACATTTTGAAGGGCTTACTACCATGGCTCCCTCCACCCTGGGAGGCATGACCAACATGTGATGTCAAGAATGATCTCCACAGGGTTTATGTTGTGACTTCCCAGATAGTGCCGACTCAGATGGGGCTCTCATTTCCATGAACTCACAGCAAAATGATTATTAGCAGGCGTGAAAACTAACCCGCAGGGTTGGCAAATTTTTCTGTGAAGAAAAAGGCTTTGTGGGGCCATACAGCTTCTGTTGTGACCACAGCTGTCCCTCTGTGTCCTTCCTTGGAGAATGGGCTCCAGCACCCCCTGAAGATACTAAAATCTGCAGATACTAAAATCCATTGTTCTGACTCTTAACATTCTGTGTGCCTTCAAGTTTGGTGTAGCCATGGAGCTTGTTTGGTTAAATAAATGCAAGTGGAAGTAGATACACAAGTTCCCTATATAAAGTAGAGTAGTATTTGCATAAACCTATGTACATCCTTCCCTATACTTTAAACTTAAATATACTCTAGATTACTTATAATACCTAATACAATGTAAGTGCTACGTAACTAGTAGTTGTACTGTATTTTTAAAATTTCTATTGTTTTTATTGTTGTATTGTTATTTTCTATTTTTTTTAAAGAATATTTTCAACCTGCAGTTGGTTGAGTCCGAGGATGCAGAACTTGCAGTTATGGAGGGCTGGCTGTGGGTGACTCTTCCATTGTAGCACAAAGCAGACATGGGTAATATATGCACAGATGGGCATGGCTGTGTTCCAATAACACTTTATTTACAAAAACAAGTGGTGGGCCAGATCTGATCTGTGGGCTGAAGTTTGCCAACCCCATTCTTAGAACAGTGCCTTGCACATAGTAAATGCTCAATAAATTTTAGCTACTGCATCAAATATTGTTTACATTGCTTATTTGCTATGGTTTTGGGCAAGAGGTGAAACTGCACTGAGCTGCTACTGTACATTTCAATAAAATAAGGATTACAATGGCTGCTCATCTTGCCCCAGAGTTTTATCATTAAGGATCAAATGCAAAAATGGATAAGAAAGTACTTGGAAATTGGCAGCATGCCGTGGGTGTGTTGGGGTTCACTTTTAGGGTTATGGTTTCAAAATGATGTTGCTAATGATCCTACCTCATCACTTACCTCTCTGGAGCTTTCTAAACCAATTCATAGCAATTGAACCCTACCCTGTTTCAGTGCTGGTGCCAGGTTAACAAGCGTTTATAATAAGTATTTTTTGAGGACTTACTCTTTTCTAGGAACTTCAGATATGTTATTTCTTATCCTCGCAATGATCCTTTGGTAATTCCTTAACGTTAAATTTATGGATGTGACAGCCAAGGCTCAGAGCGGTGAAGGAACCTGCTTAAGGTGATGCGGTTAGCAAACAGCAAGATGAGGATTCAAGTCCAAGTTTGTCCATCTGCAAAGCCCGCATTTTTCCCCTGTTGTTGCTTCCAGTGGCAGTCACACTGTTATTTGTCCATTGTTCTGGCTCTTACCATTCTGTGTGCCTTCAAGTTTGGTGTAGCCATGGAGCTTGTTTGGTTAAATAAATGCAAGTGGAAGTAGACACACAGCTTCTGAGTGGAAGCATTTAGTTATCAGTGCACAGCAACATTCTGTGTGCCTTCAAGTTTGGTGTAGCCATGGAGCTTGTTTGGTTAAATGAATGCAAGTGGAAGTAGACACACAGCTTCTGAGTGGAAGCATTTAGTTATCAGTGCACAGCACTGCAGAGCTCTTTTTCTCTATGTCACAGTGACTAGCAATGTTCCAGACACAGGCTGCTCTATCTGCCTGGGTCTCCGAGTGAGCAGAGCCCCCAGGGGTCATGAAACACAAGGAAGACATCAACCTTTGTTGTCTTAAGCCACTGAGCTGTTTGTTACAGCAGCAAAGCCTACCTTCTCCTGACCCTTACACCCTCCATAAATGAATACATAGAAAGGGATGAAACACAGAGTCCCTGCCTTCAAAGAGCCTAGAGTCTAGTGGGAGGAGCAGGAGAGATTTGCAGTTCAGTTCAGTGAATGGTTATTGAGCATTTGCTATGAGCCCTAAGCACAGGGGCCAGGATACAAAGATGAGTCCAGGCTGGATGTCCTGCCATCAAGGTCTTGCACTGCAGAGGGGCCACTGCTAGGAGAGAGACTGTGGAAGTCAAGGATGTCTTCAGGGAGGATGTGGCCTTGACACAAGGGTCCTCAGAGGCTGCTCTCTCTGCTCCTGCTCTCCCTTCCTCCACCACACTCCTTTGTTTGCTATGAGCCCTAAGCACAGGGGCCAGGATACAAAGATGAGTCCAGGCTGGATGTCCTGCCATCAAGGTCTTGCAGTGTAGAGGTGCCACTGCTAGGAGAGAGACTGTGGAAGTCAAGGATGTCTTCAGGGAGGATGTGGCCTTGAAACAAGGGTCCTCAGAGGCTGCTCTCTCTGCTCCTGCTCTCCCTTCCTCCACCACACTCCTTTTCTTTTCTCTTTCTTTCTTCTTCCATCTCTTTCTCCTTCTGCACGTATTGGCCTTTTCCCTCCCTCCAGACATATGTGGGAAAACTAGACAGCTGCTGAGGACGCTACTAAAGATTGCCTGGCCCGGGAGTCCATGGAAAGTGGGATGAGAGAGACAGATGGAGAGTCTGGGCCGAGCAGGACCCACCCTGCCCACAGGGCTTTGGCTTCCTGAGGTGTGAATAATGAACATTTATAGCCCTCATCTCATCCTAAGGGAGAGGAAGGCGTGGATGATTAGCTGTGCTTTTGAGACGAGAGGTTCAGAGAGGGTGAGTGTCTCCCTGATGGTCACACAGCACCTCAGAGGCAGAACTGGCATAGATTCCGGACTCCCATCTCCAAGGAGGAAGAGTGCTGACTTGAGGGAATTCATACACTTCTGGGTTTGGCTCTTGGCTTTGTCATAGGCAGGGGATCAGTGCT